TGCCTCAGTCAGGTCCCCTCTTGTTTGCCTCCTTTCGAGGCTAAAGAGCCCCAAATGCCACAACCTTTCCTCACAGGGAAGCTGCTTCACCCCTTTCATCATCTGAGTCACCCTCCTCCAACCCTTCTCCATCTCCCTTGGATCCTCCTCTGAGCTGTGGTGACCAGAACTGCAGACAATATTCCAGATGTGGTCATGTTCTTGATTTCTATAAGGGCATTATGATATTAGCCTCTCTGTTTTCAATGCCTTTTTTATCATCCCTGACATACTGTTGGCCTTTTTCACAGTGGATCCACACTGTGTTGACACCTTCATTGAACTGTTTCCGTTAATTCCAAGTTCTCTTTCCTCATTTGTCCCAGCCAGCTCTGATCCCATTAGCTTCTATCAGGAGTTAGGATTTTTGGCCCAGCGTGCGTCACATTGGCTGACCTCTACCGTTTTGATGCCCACTCCCCGAATGGGCAGAGAACCTTTGGAGCTCTTCACGGTCCCTTAAGGTTTTTACCACTCTGAACCCTTTAGTGCCATCAGCGAATTCCATGAGTCATGCCCTGTTCCAGATCATTTAGAAATCTATTAAAAAGAAGCGGTCCTAGGAGAGAAACTTGAACAATCCACAACAGGGCCTGCCCTTTTATTCCATGGCCGAGAAATCCATGCCAAGGGACTTTATCGAAGACTTTTTGAAAATCGGAGTAGGTGATGTCTAGTGGCTCGGCCTTATCCACATGTTTATTACCACCCTCAAAAACTCTAGCAGGTTAGACAAGATCTTCCTCTAGTGTAGCCATGTTGGGTATCCTTGAACAAGACCTGGGTTTCCAGATGATTGGTAATCCTATCTTTAATAGCAGTGTCCACTATCTTCCCCAGAACAGATGTTAAGCACACAGGAGTCCTGGATCTCCACATGAGCCCCTTAAAAACTGGAATTACATTGGCCACCTTCCAGTCCTTAACTCTGGAGGCTCTGCAGGTTGCCTATTTTGATAAGAAAGTCCACAATCTCAGCTCTGAGCTCCTTCCTAACCTCGGGTGGATCTCATCCAGGCCTGGTCATTTGCTGAGGCTGAGTTTGTCCATAAGGCCCAGCGCTGCTTCTCTTGTTACTGCTCTGAGGCTCAGCTCAGCTGGTTCCCCTCCCGAGAACAGAGCAAAGGCTCAGGGACTCCCCCAGTTTGCCTCCCATGAAGACGCAGGCAAAGAAGACCCAGCCGAGGGAGAGATGCAGAGGGTGGAGGTGCAGAAGTTCAAGGGGGGGCCTGCAGTAGAAGCCTGGAGGGAAAAGTTGTGTGAGCCCCCTGGGGGGCTTTGGGGCAGTCCCACCTTTCGATCCCAACCTACCTCACACGGTTGTTGTGGTGGGGAGGAAGGTGCACTCTGTGTGCTGCCCCGAGCACCTGAAGGAAGGGGTGGTCTTTAAAAAGAAGCAAAGGAATAAATAACGGACAGATTCATAAATGAGTCCTATAAGACACAGAAATAGTCTCGTTATACAGACCTAGAAATAAGGAATAATTCTATAAGAACGTTATATAAAATAAGCAGATATCAAATATTTCAACTGTAAAACCAAACCCTTTATTAATTTAAGAAATTTTCCCCTGCATTGAACGTTTCCATGACTGGGCTCCATCCGGCCATTTTTGGTCCGAAGCTCCTTCTGCAGCTGGTCTCCCAGCCGAGGAAGCGGAGTCACTCCAGTCGCTCTTTCTTGAACCCGATTCTCAGCTTCCCGCTTAGATCTGAGTCCCGAAATCATAAAACTTGTCAGATTCAGCTGGCACGGCATGGCACAGCCAACGCCACTGTTCGGTTTCACCACCCCTAGTCAGTTTCACTGCCTCAGGCGCAGGCGGCCAGGGAAGGGGGACGGGACGAACCGCAAGTCAGTGGCCGGCAGGTGGCGGCCATTGACTCAGGGCAGGAACGGAGGCTCCGTAACAAAGCCGGCTTCCCCCGAAGGCCCCGGGCACCGCCAATCGCAACCGCTGGGAAGCGCCGCAATTCAGCAGCGACCGGTCAGCAATCAAGGAGCCCCGGCTTGGCCCGCAGGAGAAAGCCCAGCGAACGCAGCGATCACACACACAAAGGGCGGCAGTGGGGAGACAAAGAAACCCGGCTGGATCTGCCATTAAGGCGAGGTGAAGAACCCCACTGACCCAGGGGACCGGGGTAAAGGGCGGGCACGAGGGTAACTCCTGGTCAAGGGGGGAACCCTATAAAACCGCTGTATGTAACCGCGCCAAGCCAATCCTGGCTTTGTCTGTAACCGCTACGCATTACACCCAAGTAAACTGCTTTCGTACGAGCCTGTGTCTCAAGGAGTCTTTATTCAGCGCTGAGTGCAGCGATCTTTACACTGGCGAGGCTCCTGCTAGAGGGCAGGGCTCCATCCCGGGAGAGATGCAGGGACCCAGGCTGACATCGAGGGAGGGGAGAAAGGGGGCAATTGGGGGGACTTTCTTTCCCTTGAACACTAGTGAAG